TTGGACACCTAGTTTTTATATTGGATTGGAGTCTTTTATGGTAATATACTAAATGTTTGTCAATGTAAGGATTATTTATTTCCTCTATGTAAAAGTTATTTATTAAAGAAAAGAATAATACAAAATATTGTTTTGGCAGAAAGCTAGTTAAAAATAATACCTTTTTTTCTGTTTTCTGGAATGAACAGGTTATTGAAGAGTTCTACAATATATTTGGTCCTGAATTGAAAGCTGTCACTGGAGATCCAAAGCGTATTGATGATGTATTGCGAAGGGTTGATGGTCTGATTAGTCCTATGGAAGTGCTGACTTTTGACCCTTTTAGCATCAAATGTGCATCTCAGTGGAAATTTGTTATGGAAGATTTTAAATCAGAAGTGCTGGTAGGTAGCAGATCCTGTGCTAGTTATTTCTATAACATAGTATGTCTTCCTTCTAGAATTTCACATTTTAAACTTAAAATAAATATGAGCCTGAAAATAAATAAAATATAAATTAGATAAACGTGGCCAAACATTTTAATTTGGAGTTTTGGGAGAAAGCTAAGATTTTTGTTGGTTTGTTTGCTTTACACTTTGTATGTAAACGTAGGTGAAAGGTGCTGACTCATTCACAGCCCTGGCAGGTCTGAAGCTCTTTGCATATTGAGCAGTGGCAGAGTTTGCCTTCTTGACCCTCACCTGCTAACATACCTCACCTATGACCTAAATGGGAGTTTAGGCTTCTCAGTGTGAGAACTAGGGTTGCAAGGTGTTTTGCAGTACCCCTGAGCTCTTGGCCTATGCCTGGTGTCTCAGCTGCTGGCCTCATGTGCTGGAGCCTCTGCTTTTGGCTCCACATGCCCAGTTCCAGCTGCTGGCCCAACGTGTTGGCTGGCTCTGCTGCCAGCCATGTGCCCACGATCCCAGCTGCCAGCGCTGGTGCCAGTTGGCTCTGTTACAGCTTCGGCACACAAGGGGTTCTGCTGCTGCCCCAGCGTGCCAGTAGGCTTTGTTGCCAGCACCAGGCCCGAGATCTGGCTGCCAGCACTGCGTACTGGGGCATTGTTCCTGGTCTCAGATGTTGGGGTTGGAGATGGATGGTTAGGAATTAGAGGGCTGGATTTCAGTATCTCTACTCTTAAAAATATTCCTGCACTACTGTTCAGGCTCACACTCCTGGACTCCTTTAGTCCGTCAGTTCTCTGCTGAGAAGGCCAGCAACAATACCAGATGAAATTCTGCTAATTGTGATGTGGACTCTTGCCTTGCAGGAACTGGATTGAGATCCATCATGCTCATTTTTCTTAGCCATTGAGAAGGCAACAGTTGATTTTTAAAAAATAAAAGAAATGTCAAATAAACAGAAGTAAAATTATACTTTAATGTTAGCACATTACCTGTTTTCCACATAGGCCACTCTTCCTTCCTCCCTTTGTCTCTGCAAAACTAATCAATAATCAGTTTTGTTTCTTTACTTGCTGCTTTTGTCTAGGTTATAGAAAAGGAGGCCAAGAACTTTATTGATGAGTCCTTTAAGACCCTTCGATCAGCAGAAGCTGCTTTTGACATGCTCCTAAACTTTAAACACATCCGCTCTCGGGAAGCCATCAATAGACAGATGATGATGAAATTCAATGATATTCTGGCACAGTATTGTAAAGAGGTATATCACAGAATTTCTTAAAAAACACATAAAATTGTATACCAAGTAGAAGTATCCCTTCTTGAACAATAAACCTCTCTATCTGTCTAGGGAATTCTATGGCCCCTGTTACCACAGTGTGTAAGACGAAGTGGGTCTTTGCCCACGAAAGCTTATGCTCCAATAAATCTATTAGTCTATAAGATACCACAGGACTTCTCATTGTTTATACAGATTCAGACTAACATGGCTACCCCTCAGTGTGACACAGTGTGTAAGAGACTCCCAAGTATTTAGAAATAGCCATAACAGTCTCTCTCTCTTTCCTTTGCAGCCTAAAGGAGATATAGCATCATTAATATATAGATATTTGAGTATATGTTAGGATGCTTATTGTGGGTCAAAAGAAGATGGGGTTTGCTTTCAGTTCTGTATGCAGTGGGTCCGTCAGACATTCTTATTTCTTGTGGGCATGAGTTCTACGGTATCTCCCATGAAAATACTTCTACACTCATGAGCCTGAGAGCCCCTGGATGCTGATGGAACTCACCCATTATGAGAAATCACAGCAGTAAGGGAGCAGTGATTTCTAAGATAGGCCAGTCCCATGGAGAGCTTTGAATATCAGTCACTCCATTCTGTAATCTTTGGGGAGCCGGTGCTGAGAGGAAGTCTCAGGGTAAGGTCTTCGTAGTGAACTGCATTCTCTGCTACTGCATTTTGTCTAGTTGGAGCTTAAGCCTTTGCTCCAAGAATATATGTAATGTAGGATATATTTGAGGAAGTATGAAAACTGCTGTTTACCAAGTCTGAGAGAATTTTCCTGGGACCATTTTTATAATATTTGTTTCCTTTGGAAAAAGCATCCTCAATTTACTACTACTGATCTTTTAGATGTTTTTCTTCCCTTAATTCTGTGGGCCCTAATAAAACATTTGATCTTGAGACGTACTGTAACTGCAACTCCCATTGAAATTGATAGGAATGGCAGATGACCAGCACCTTTCAGGGTCAGGTTTCATTTACCGAGATCTTACCATTATAAACTCCTGCGAGGGTCAAAATCCGAGGATCAAACACTTCCTGTAGTATTTGATTTTAGGAGTTGGTTCAGCCACCTCTACGTGGGGAATTCTCATTGATTTTTTGAGAGGAATTTCACACATGGACAAGTTGCATAATAGGATCCTTAATGTCAGACCCAGCCATTGCAGACAAATGCCTTTGTAGCATATGCCTGGCCATTCATACTGCCTGAGATTTCCTGCCATCCCCTTGATGGATGTCTTAGAGGACTGCCACAACACTACAGGGAACTTTCTCAGAGCAGCCATAATATGCATAATGAATCTCATGCCTGCCATTGCGTGCTGATAATGGCAGAATATTGGCTTGTCAGCTCCTGGACTCCTCCTTTAACCAAATGGCATGCTGTATTTTATTAGGCAGGTGTGGCTGCCATGATAAGATCATGTCTGTTCTTGTGCTTTATTTGCATACAAAGCTTCTGCAAGTAAAATTCCATCTCATCACAGGTGGGGACTTTTTCATAGCACTCCCTGTGGAGCCAAGTGTGATACTGCCAGTGCTCCCTACAAGAGTCCATAACCCACCTGCCTGGAGCAGAGCAGCTCATGCCAAAAGCTTAGTGTCAGTCTCTAAACAGCACCATACTCTGAATTAAATATTTTTGTTATTTTTGTTTATTGTGCTCTTAAATAAATAAACTGGTCTCTAAGGCAACAAATAGATTGCAGTACTTGAAGGCAAGACCCTGACCTGGCCTTTTAGGTTGTGAGCTAGCATTGAGGAGCTCCTCTTCTATACCTTCTTACTTAGTACTCTTTCTCAGAGGGACCTGCAAACCTCCTTAACAGGTCTGCTGGCTACCAGTTGATCAGTATCTCTTTATGACTCTTCTAATTCTCTGGAGGGGTAAGTCTTCTTGTTAGGCTGGCATAAATGGGTTTTCCTTGAGAAGGGAAATATTGGGGTGCCGATGCCTGTAGCAGGGGATAGAGAAAGCCTGACAGATGCTACTACACACTTTTTCCACTTGTCAGGTGAGGGCAGGATTGATCCGTTGGTATTGAAATTGTATGAATAATATTAGGATGGTATTTAAGATTGCTTATATGATTGAAAGCAAAATATGGCCACATGTTTATATGGGCATGTTTGTATTGTATTTAATAATATAAAGTTATATCCTTTTAATAAAATATGCAAGTACATGAAAAAGTAACTGTGTTTAAAATGAAGGCCATCTGGCTTGGAATGTCAAAAGTGAAATGCACACCTCTTGGAGAAAATGTAGATGGGTAAATAATTCTAATTAGCTTAATCCAAGCAAAGGTGCTATGGAAGTTATTAACAAACTGTTAGTGTTCTGCTGCTGGAATTAGCGGTGTGATCCTATGCATGGCGTATGCTAGAGACAGTGAAGATGAAAAGGAATGTTTTTGATAACTCTGTACTGTTTTGATTCTTTTATAGGTAGACATAGTTAATAAGATCTTCATCCAAAACCTCAGTAATCCACCCCTATACAAGAATCATCCTCCAATGGCTGGAGCAATATATTGGTCCCGATCCCTTTTCCATCGAATCAAACACACTGTTATTCGATTTCAAGAAGTTGAGGAGTTGCTGGCTAGTGAGCGTGGGAAGGAAGTATGTTGGTTTCATTGTTATTTAATAAAGTTAGTAATACTTGGCACATCAGTAGCGTGGTTCATCCAGATATATACAAGTTCTTTATAAGCAGTAATTAAGATTAATGGAAAGTTTGAGTACATAAGTATTGTGATACACATATTACAAATGGGAAAACTGAGCCACAGATTGGTTGTGACTTTGGTCAATGTCTCTCAAAGAGGCAGTAGCAGAGTTGGCAATGGAATTTAGGAGTGTATAGTTTCAACCCTCTGCATTAATCACTATACTGTGCTTGTTTCCTTATTTGATAAAAACAATCATTAACAATTATTTTAAGTAGCCATGTTCAGACAAGAAAATGTCTGCTCTGTCTTTATTATAGTGCAAGATGAATGGAGCTAAACTCTTTCTTCCAGGTAAAACAAAAGTATCTGGAAGTGGCTAAGAGAATGAAAGAATATGAAGATTTGAAATATGATCATTGGAGAGACTGGACAGAACAGATGCTCCCTGTACTACTGAAAAAAACCCTGCTTGCTAAAGTCCATTCCTCTGGGACCGTAGTCCAAGCTAATACAGAGTCCGCTGATCAGGTGAGTGGCAGAACATAAGAACATCCATAATGGGTCAAACCAAAGGTCCAGCTAGCCCAGCATCCTGTCTTTCAATAGTGGCCGATGCCAGGTGCCCCAGAGAGAATGAACAGAACAAGTAATTGCCAAGAGATCCACCCCGTTGCCTATTCCCACCTTGTGACAGAGGCGAGGGACACCATTCCTGCCCAACCTGGCTAATTGATTGACCCATCCTCCAGGAATGTATATAGTTCTTTTTTAAACCCTCTTAAAGTTCTGGTCTTCTCAACATCCTCTGACAAGGAGTTTCACAGGTTGACTGTGTATTGTGTGAAGAAATACTTCCTTTTGTTTATTTATTTTAAATCTGCTATCTATTACTTTGATTTGGTGACCCCTAGTTCTTGTGTTATGGGAACAAGTAAATAACTTTTCCTTATTTACTTTCTCCACACGAATCTTGATTTTATAGACCTTTATCATATCTTCACCTTACTTGTCTCTTTTTGAAGCTGAAAAGTCCCAGTCTTACTAATCTCTCCTCATAAGAAGGGCCAGGAGTTAATTGTCTGCTTATGCATTGATATGTATCCAAGTTACTGATCAGGAGAGATTTTCTCAGAGTGGTTTCATAAGGAGAGGGACTGAGTTGCTTTCGGGAAATGTTAACACTTCTTAACTCAAAATTATTTGGGGTCCTACGTCGGGCATGGATTTTCATATTTGTCACAATTGTTAAATGACCCCGCAGAAGAATAAATGATAATGTGCTTTGTGCTGTCATTCTTGACACCTCTATGTAGAACATGCCAGTGTTCTATCTTAATATCCCTGTTTTGCTCTGAGCACATTATTGTGGTGCTATAAAAATAGTATTTTCCAACAGCCTCATCTTTCTATATACAGGCAGTCCCCTGGTTACATGGATCCGACTTACATCGGATCCCTACTTACAAACGGGGTGAGGCAACCCCGCACTAGCTGCTTCCCCCCAGTAGACCAGGGAGACGCGAAGCTAGCGCCCTCCCCCCCCCCAGCAGACCAGGGAGACGCGGAGTGGCTTTTCTCAGCAGACATCTCAGCTTGAGAATAAAGGACTGAGGGAAGTAAGGTGTGGGAGAATAAAACTGAGCTCTGGAGAAATGTTTGGCTAGAGTTTCCCCTACAATATGTACCAGTTCCGACTTACATACAAATTCAACTTAAGAACAAACCTACATCTATCTTGTACGTAACCCGGGGACTGCCTGTAGAGATCTGTTACTATACTATACAGCACAATGATGTGCTTACTATAGGGTTATTCCACTTAAAAGAAAAAATTGTTCTCCTTTGAGTGGTGTCCCTGTGGATGCTCCACTCAGGTCTTGGTGCATCCTTGTGTTGGCAATTGGAGATTTTTGCCTAGCAGTACCTTCCTATGTTATGCCTACACAGTAGCTGTCTCGTGCTGTTTTGACTGTTGATTGCACATGCGGTGCGTGTATCCCTCAGTTCCTTTTCTACTGTCCTTGGCAGAAGACAGATTCTCTGCAGTGCTCTCCTTTCTGTCTGAAAAGATAAAGATAGTGTAGTTAGTTTATTGTTAGTTACCTGCTTTAGTTAGTTTATCGTTAGTTTAACTATTTCTTCTTAGTTAAAAACCCCCCACTTCCCCTGTTTTTTTCTTCATGTTTTCTGAACTCTTCAAGTTCTACTGTTCAAAATGCCAGGCTCTCCTGGTTTCAAAAAATGTGACTCATGCAAGGACTCTGCCTGCATCAGACAGGCACACATCATTCATAAAATGTCCAGGCAAAGGCCATGTGGCTCAGAAATGCCCACACTATCAGAACATGATGGACAGAGCCAGGAAAGATCTCAAAATGAGACTTAAGAACCTCCTAAGAGAAAAATTCCTGGAGCTACAGGAGAGTAAGTCTTCTGAACCTGCAAAGCACCATGTTTAACTGTCTGACATGTCCTTCTTGTTTGTCTTTGCTGTAGAGCCCACGTTCTGAAGAGGCTGACACCGGGGAGAAGTGGAGCCATTTCACAGTCAATTTTTCTCCCAAACTCCAAGAGGTTATCAATGAAACAAAATACATGGAGCAGCTGGGGTTTCCAATACCTGAAATAGCAAGGAACGTGGCACTACAAGAAGACAAATTTCTTAGGTAAGGATATATAGTGTGAACATACTCTATATTCTGACTAAACTTAACTGCAATAGGCCTACTTGATTTTTCTCACAACAGCAATGGGCCTTTTGTCATCACAGCCTTTTAAAATAAGACCCTCACAGTCATAGGGAACATCTACACTGCAGGGCAAACATTGAATTAAGATATACAATTTCAGCTACGTCAATTATGTAACTGAAGTTGAAATAGCTTAACTTGGCTTTTGGCACAGTCTACACAGCAGGAAGTCCCATACTCCTCATGAAATGAGGGTTACAAGAGTTGGAATAAGAAATCCTCCATCGCAACATTATTTCAAAATAGTGGCTTGCTGTGTAGATGTACATTTTATTATCATATATATAGTAGCCCAGTGTCTGTGCGTCTGTAATGCTGATGCTGACGTACACGGCTACACCTCCTGGCCGTGTACGTCAGCGCCCCGCCCCCTTTCCCCTCCCTCCCTGGCAGTTTGGCCGAGCGCTCGGCTGCTCAGCTGGGTCCCTGCGGCGAAGCATGCGGCGGCAAGCAGCCCTTTGCGGCCCCGGGCCCCACTGAGCGGCACTC